CAAAATAGTTCTCTTGAGTTCCAGACCCACGTGTTCAATTGCCTAACAGACATCATTCCCTGGATGTTCCACAGGAACCGCAAACTCAACTTGTCTAATACTTAGCTACTCATCATTTTCCCACCCAAACCCCCTCCTCCTCCTGTGGTTCCTCTCCCAGGGAAGGGCTGTTATACAAGCCCAGCATCTCAAGGTCACCTTGCCCCTGCCCCTCACCCCCTCTTGTTGAATGCTTCGCCCTGTCTTGTTGACCCTGTCTGACCATCTCACGTGTGTCTACTCCCTCCCCTCTCCTTGGCTCAGCCCAGCTCTCCTGGACTGGAGTTCTAGCCTGGGAGTCTTCCTGTCTCCACTCTTGCCCTCGGACAATCCATTCTCGACTCTACCGAGTGATCTTTCTAAAATGGAATCCTGACTGTGTTTCCTGTTGTAAACCTCCCACTGATTCCTTCTGACCTTCAGGATAGGGTGTGAACTCCTTAATCCAGGCTCAGGATTCTTCCTCATCCAGCCCCTGCTTCCTTCTCCAGCTTCCTGCCTCATCACTCGCTCCACATTCCCGCTATGCTGACCTGATTCCAGATTTCCTTCCCCGGGTATGCCACACTTTCTCTGCGGTGCCATTGACGGCGCTGAAGAAAAATGCACACAGGGACTTGTTGCTAGTGGAATGGAAGGTGGGCAACAGATCTGAAAGGGCGCCTTTTGCAAACCTGTTCTTAGCACGGGTGATAATGAAGGAAGAAATGAGTATGGCAGCATCGCTGGAGAGGGCTGCAAATGGGACGCCGGGATAACTGCCGTTACTGAAACTAAGGCAGAAACCTAGAAGGCGCATTCACGGCAACAATGAATTAAATCAAAACAGTGCATCGTAGACGATTTAATATCTTTGAAGTGGAAGTGGTGCCTAAAATAGATAATGACTCGTAAATTTGTAACACAACTGAATAAAGGCCCAGAGTAGAAAAATAATCCGAAGTGCTCCCTCATAACTTCAGTGTCGCATTTGGAGTATTTTTGCTCATACAATGATTCTACCAACAAGAATGATCGTGATTTTTATTTTTATCTTATATTATTATTATTTTGAGACAGAGTCTTGCTCATCACCTAGACTGGAGTGCAGAGGTAATCTTGGCTCACTGCAGCCTCTGCCTCCCGGGTTCAAGTGATTCTTATGCCTCAGCCTCCTGAGTAGCTGGGATTACAAGTGTGTGCCACCACGGTCAGCTAATGTTTGTATTTTTAGTAGAGACGGGGTTTCACCATATTGACCAGGCTGATTTCGAACTCCTGGCCTCAGCTTCTCAAACTGCTGGGATTACAGGTGTGAGCTACCTTGGCCAGTCTATTACTATTTTTTGTAATAGAGACGGGATCTCCCTATGTTGCCCAGGCTGGTCTTGAACTCCTGGGCTGCAGCGATCTGCCCACCTCAGCCTCCCAAAGTGCTGGGATTACAGGCATGAGCCACCACGCCCGGCCCATAAATTCCATTTTCCAAAAATATATAGTTTCCGTGCCACCTCATATTGTCCTACCCTGGGCTCCCTAAACTTCGTTCCTCTGCCTAAAACACATACTGGCCGAGAAATTTTGTTCAAGTAATTTACCTTTCCATTCCTTCATCTATAAAAATGTGCATAATAGGTCAAGTGGGGTGACTCACGCCCATAATCTCAGCACTTTGGGAAGTCCAGGCAGGTGGATCACCTGAGGTTGAGAGTTCAAGACCAATCTGACCAACATGGTGAAACCCCATTTCTAATAAAAATACAAAAAATTAACCAGGCATGGTGGCAGGTGCCTGTAATCCCAGCTACTCAGGAGGCTGAGGCAGGAGAATCGCTTGAACCTGGGAGGCGGAGATTGTGCCACTGCACTCCAGCCTGGGTGACACAGTGAGACTCTGTCTCAAAAAAAAAAAAAAAAAAAAGACAATAAATTTAAAAAATAATAACAATAGTACCTACCTCATGGGTTGTTGTAAGTTAATACTTGTCAAGCACTGAGAACATTGCTGCCACAGAGTAAGTGATCAACATTTAGTAACACACTGCCACCACTGTGGTTATTGCTGTGTTGTTGTGATGATTTGGTGTTTGTTATCATCTTCCTTCCTTCAGTTGCGCTCCTTCCTAACTCCTCCATGTTCTCCTGTTCTGAAACCAGGAATGATTCCTGCAGCATAGACTCACCCCAGCAGCTGTCCAGAGTGGACATCCTCATCTCCCCTTCTCAGGGAAGCACATGACATTCGGTATTTTGCCCAGCTTCCCAGACTGGGAATCTGGCTTTGGGTCCTGATGACTCTGAAGCCGGGGCTCTGGGTCCACTACCCTGTACCATCTCCCACCATCTCTATTCTGATTTTCCCAGCTCTCTGCCTTATGCCTGTATCTGCAGCTCCTCACTGCCTGGCTCTTGTTTTGTTTTGTTTTGTTTTGTTTTGTTTTGTTTTGTTTTGAGACAGAGTCTTGCTCTGTCACCCAGGTTGGAGTGCAGTGGCATGATCTCAGCTCACTGCAGCCTGTACCTCCCAGGTTCAAGTGATTCTCCTGCCTCAGCCTCCTGAGTAGCTGGGATTACAGGCGCCCACCATCACATCCAGCTAATTTTGTGTATTTTTAGTAGAGATGGGGTTTTGCCATGTTGGCCAGGCTGGTCTTGAACTCCTGATCTCAGGTGATCCACCCACCTCAGCCTCCCAAAGTGCTGGGATTCTAGGCGTGAGCTACTGCACCCGGCCGCTGCCTGGCTCTTGTTGCCCTTCTTGATCAAGTTCAAGTTCCTTAGCATGATATAAAGACAGGATACCTTACCTTTCACCACTCCACTCCCATTCCCATCTCCACCCCATGTAACTACTTTCCTTCCTCTCCTTCCCTCTCAACTTGCTTCTCTTGCCATGGGCTTCTTTTCATGTCTGGCCCCAGGGCTCACCCACACCCCAGGCCAAACATCTGGGAATCACCCCAGGCTGCTCCCCACGCCTCTTTCCTCTCTGCCTATTAGCTACGATGTCCTACGGGTTGCATTTCCCAAGCATCTCTCAAATCTGTCTTTTTTCCCTCTATCCCTGTGGAACAGAATTTTAAGACGTTCTCACTTTTCTCACCTGGATGATCTAGTCAGCTTCCTCCCAAACAGTTCTTCCATCTCTGGTCTCCACCCTGGCTCCCAGAGACAATTTCCCAACATGTAAATTGGACCAGGTCTCATCCCTGCTTAACATGTTCTAATGGCTCCCGGATGTCTAAACAGTCTGAGAAGGTCCCAAAACAAGTGTTCTGTGGCCAACATGCTTGGGAAATGCAGTTCACTCTGTGCCCCGCTCAGAGAGTCACTGCACACGGGAGAGTAATAAAGCTTCCATTAGGCCTGCAGTAAAGAAATCTGTTTAGATTTGTTTGACCCACTGGTTTCTGGTCTTACCTGACACAGTAGCCTTTCTCCACATTTTCCTATTCACGGTTGGGGGAATCAAGTTGTAAGGAGTACTTTTTGGGAAATGCCATCTGGCAGGATCAAGTTCAAGTTCCTTAGTGTGATACAAAGATAGAAAACCTTACCTTTCACCACTCACCTCCTATTCCCATCTCCACCCTAAGTTATCTGCAATTCCGCCTTTCCCTAGTTTTACACCTTTGTGGTCCTGCTCCCTGAGTGCCCTTAATTCTGCTTCCTAAAGGACACATCTGTACAAATTATCTAAGACGTGGCCTCAATGACACCTCCTTTGTGGCTTGTTTCCCTCCTTCTTTTTGGCTCCACTGTTGCTTGGCCCTGTGACTGTCAGCATTCACCTATTTGTGGGTCTGTCTGCTCCACTGAAAGTTCAATTCCTCTACAGAGTGGCTTGTCTGCCTTTGTCCCCAGGGCTCACACTGTGCAAGGTCCATGGAAGGGGCTCCATGAGTGAGATCAAAGATCCTGAGACTCAATGCTGGGATGGAAAACCACGAAGCCTCCAAGGATGGTTCTCTTTTTTGTTTGTTTGTTTGTTTGTTTTTTGAGACAGAGCCTTGCTCTGTCATCCAGGCTGGAGTACAGTGGCACAATCTTAGCTCACTGAAACCTCCGCCTCCCAGGTTCAAACGATTCTCCTGCCTCAGCCTCTAGAGTAACTGGGATTACAGGCGTGCGCCACCATGCCTGGCTGATTTTTGTATTTTTAGTAGATGGGATTTTGCCATGTTGGCCAGGCTGGTCCCCCAACTCCTGACCTCAGGTGATCCGCCCGCCTCAGCCTCCCAAAGTGCTGGGATTACAGGCGTGAGCCACCACGCCCAGCTTCAAAGGGTGATTCTGAGCCAGGGTTTCTCAACCTCAGTGCCATTAACATTTTGGACCAAATGATTCTTTTCTGTGCCTGATTCATTATAGGATGATTAGCAGCATCCCTGGTCTCTACCCAACTGATGCCAGTAACAACCCTTTTCCCCAGGTGTGATCATCAAAAAGGTTTCCAGGCATTGCCAAATGTTCCCTAGGGAGCAAAATCATTCGTGGTTGAGACCCCTGTTCTAGACATAGGTTATTCCAGTTGTCTTTGTGTTTCTGGGTAGGTGTTCCTTTTCTGTTTCACTCTTTATCCCTCTTGCCCTTAAAACTTTCTCGGATATTTAAAAAACCCTCCTTCTATACCTAAGGCTGACTGTTTTGTGCTCTGGGGACAGTGGAGAAATTCCAGGAAGGGTGCAGCTTGGGTTGCTTCTCTGGGGATGGCGGAGCCGGCCTACAGAGTGAGCTCATGTCGTGCCTGGAGCTAGGGAGGCACATGGGTCAGCATCTGTTGCTAGCTCTCTGGAGAAAAGCTACTGGGAAGGTGTATAAAGCAGCCTTGCAGACAGCTGCCTGCCTGGCCTGTGCTTTCTGAGAAGCATATTCCTTCTGTGGAAGGAAACGCCGATCTATTCACTTCCCATCCTTGTCAGAATCTGGATAGGTGAGGTTCTCTCCACAGCCGCCTTCTCATCCCTGCTCCACCTTTGCAGTCAGTGCCGAGGGGAGCCAGGCCTGTGCCAAAGGCTGTGAGCTCTGCTCTGAAGTCAACGGCTGCCTCAAGTGCTCGCCCAAGCTGTTCATCCTGCTGGAGAGGAACGACATCCGCCAGGTGGGCGTCTGCTTGCCGTCCTGCCCACCTGGATACTTCGACGCCCGCAACCCCGACATGAACAAGTGCATCAGTGAGTGTGGGCAGGGCTGTCGGGGGCAGGGGGCACTAGAAGCTCTGGAATGGGGGAGAGTGCTTTGAACCACTGGTGGCTGGTGAGAGGAGCAGAGGGGGCTCTGAGGAGAGGAGATGAGGCGCCGATTCAAGTATCCAGCCGCACACTTCCACCTTGGTGGGTAAATACTGGAACCCTGTCTCCTCCCTTCGCACCTGCCCCTACCTGTATTCCCACAGGTTACCCTCCATGTCCCAACCTGTCACCCAAGCCACAGCCCTGAGTGCCAACCTCTCCCACCCCATCCATCCAATCATCAGAGCCTGTCTGTCATCTCTTGTCTGTCCTCACTGCCACTGTCCTCCCCAGGCTCCCAGCACCTTGCTCCTGGATCATTGCAATAGCCTGTTCATCTGTCCTCCAGCCTTCATCTGGTTCCCTGAAATCCACCTTCTGCACTGCAGCCAGAAAGACACTTCTGAGACACACACCCTACCCCATCACACTTCTGGGATACACAACCTATCTCATCACACTTCTGAGACACAGAACCTATTCCTATCCCATCACATTTCTGAGACATACAACCCATCCCATCACACTTCTGCTTAAAAACCATTGTTAGCTCCACATGGGCTGCAGGGGAATCCAAGCTCAGGCAGCCTGCTCTTCCACTCTCTTCGCTCCCTGGTCTTCTGGCTCCTCATTTCCACACCAGCTACAGCTCCACGTGCTCCAAGGCACATGCTGCCATATCTCCATCCCTTCTCTGTAGCTGCAGCTGCGGTGTGCTGGGGGACACGTGTGAACACACTCAGGGAGACAATGCCAGTGCCCCCACCACCTGTTCAGTGCCTTGCCATTTAGAATGCATTTGCAGGTCTCATATCAGTTGAGCCTCACAACAACACTGGCAGGGAGACAGGACACAACTGATGGTACCCTTTTCAGGGCTGACAACATTGAGGCCCGGAAGGTAAATGACTGGTCCAAGACTAGACTGGGTTCTGAGCTCAACTCTGCTACTTCTTCATTGTGTGACCTTGAGCACGTCTCCACCTCTCAATGCCTCATCTTTAAGAGTTCTTACCCCCTAGGGTTGTTGTGAGACACGCAGGTAAAGCCCTTAGTGTCTGGCACTCAACAAATGGTAGCTGCTATTGTTCTTATTTTTGTTCTTATTTGACTGGCAACCAAACCCAGGAATCAGAGCACCAGGGAGGGAAGGAAGAAGGGAAGGAGAGAGGTGAGGCTGAGATAAGCCTGGAGGATGGTGGGAGTTTGTGAGGATGGAGGTGGGACCCTGGGAGCTACCCTCTTGGTCCTCAGGGTCCTTGGGGTGGGGAGCTCCTGGCTACGCCAGCTCCTAGGAAACTGGCAGCGTGGGCTTCAGGTGCCAGAGCCTGGGAGGAAGTCAGCCCCGCCTGCACTCTGGGAAGGAGAGATTGTGAAAGACCCTGCCTGCTTTCAGCCAAGCCCTGGAGGACCCACCCTGCTCCCATTCCCCCAGAGGAGAGAACTGGCAGCAGGGAATCAGGGAGGGACCCAGGAGTCCTACCAAGGCGGTTCCTGGAACTCAGCCTTGCAGAGGGAGAGGAATTTGCCATAGGATGGCTTCCCCCTCCTCCGTGCTGATTCTTTCTGCCCCAGGCAGGAAGAGAACCACAGTTTGGGGTATTGTAGATGCCCAGCAATGAGGGAAGAGGAGATCACACAGCCACTCTCTGGGGGGCCATTCTGCCCCTCAGTTCAACTCTGTTTAGGGTGGCCCTGCAGATGCTGTGAGATGCTGAAACACTCCTGTCCCACCCCCACCAAGCCCAGAGGGCCCCACCCTCCTCCTCTGAAACTGCTCTCTTGAGCCTCACTTTGGGTTCCAGGGGCTGAGACTGGCTTCATGTTCGAGTTGGCTGACGGTGGCTAGAGTCCCAGCCAGCCCTCAGGAGCAGCCGCTTCAGCTTCTTCTTCCCTGGCCTGCCACTGCCCTTCCTTTCCCTTTCCTCCTGAGATTCCTCTGCAGTAACTGCAGCTCTAGGCCAGGGTCCTGCCCTCCATGTAGGTGGATGTGGACAGAAGGGAGGGTGTTGGGGCTGGGAATGAGGGAAAATGTTCCTTCTAGGTTGGGCCAGAAGCCCCCAATTTGTCCTCTCCTCAGAATGCAAGATCGAGCACTGTGAGGCCTGCTTCAGCCACAACTTCTGCACTAAGTGTAAGGAGGGATTGTACCTGCACAAGGGCCGCTGCTATCCAGCCTGTCCCGAGGGCTCCTCAGCTGCCAATGGCACCATGGAGTGCAGTAGTCCTGGTAAGCCATGGCAGGCACTGTGGGCAGAGGGTCCAGGACCCCAGGAGGAGGGGCTGGGTAAGGGTCTGGCCAGAGAGTGGGTGGGCTGGGGTACTGTGCAGGGAGAGCTTACCCTACCACTCTTTTCTGGGTCTCTTCTGCCCTCTGGACTAAAGATACCTGCAGCCTGAGGTCCAGGCAGAAGGCAGGTGGGAGATGCTCCCCTGGGCTATTCCGGACCAGGGGAGGAGATTTGATCCCCTCCTCCTTGTCCTACTCTCCCTTCCCTTCTCTTCCTGCCAGCGCAATGTGAAATGAGCGAATGGTCCCCATGGGGGCCCTGCTCCAAGAAGAAGAAGCTCTGTGGTTTCCGGAGGGGCTCCGAGGAGCGGACACGCAGGGTTCTCAATGCCCCTGGAGGGGACCATGCTGCCTGCTCTGACACCAAGGAGACCCGGAGGTGCACAGTGAGGAGGGTGCCGTGTCCTGAGGGTGAGCTGCAGCCTCTGCTCCCTTGGGGTCAGCGCTCAGGCACCAGCCATGGCAGGTCCCACCATCTCTGCTTCCTGCCCATGGTTCAGGAGAAAGCTTCAGGGCAAGGCCAGATGGGGCACCCACAACTCAAGACCTCATGCTGTCCAATCCAGATGCCATATCCTGGCAGAGAACAGGGCCCCGGAACTCTGCATGGTGGAAGCTGGAAGCTTCTGTGGTCAATATCCTTCCAGTTTCCCCATTTCTTCTGAGCTAGTGGATGTTCATACTAGAAGGCCCCTCAGAGGCCGGATGGGTGGGCGAAAGAGGCACTAAGACCCAGAGAGCTGTAGTGATTCCACCAAAGTCACACAGCCTGCAGTTGGCAAGGAGGTGGCTGCTGCTCTTGCCTGGCCCCAGAGGTGGCTGGTGTCGGGGAGGGAATGGGGGCAGTCCTGCCTGTTCTGAGGGTTGCACTGAATACCTGGGAAGTGCTCTTGGTCCACTGGGATCCAAGATCTGAGGAACCCATGAGGAAGAGGATGATGTCTTGTGTGCCTTGAGGGTTGGGGAGTGAAAGGGCTCTTGGGCTGCCTCTCAGTGCTCATGCCTCAGGGTCCTCTGAAGTGGCTGCTGTCAGAGGAGGTCACCATGACCCAACTACCTACAGGCAGCATCTCCAGCCTCCTCCCTGCCTCCCCTTCCGGCTTCCTCACACTCCCCTCCTAGGGCCTGTGGCCATGCCCAGGGGCTCCCTGCACATCCTTTGTTGATTCTTCCTGCTGTCTGGTTGTTTCAGGGCAGAAGAGGAGGAAGGGAGGCCAGGGCCGGCGGGAGAATGCCAACAGGAACCTGGCCAGGAAGGAGAGCAAGGAGGCGGGCACTGGCTCTCGAAGACGCAAGGGGCAGCAGCAGCAGCAGCAAGGGACGGTGGGGCCGCTCACATCTGTAGGGCCCGCCTAGGGACACTGTCCAGCCCCCAGGCCCATGCAGAAAGAGTTCAGTGCTGCTCTGTGTGATTAAAGCTTTCCTGAACTGGAACATCGGGGGCAAAGCATACACACACGCTCCAATCCATCCATGCATACATAGACACAAGACACACACACTCAAACCCCTATCCACATATACAACCACACATACTTGCACACATGTGTGTGCATGTATACACACACACACAGATACCCCCCCCACACACACACACACACACACACCTGAGGCCACCAGAAGACACTTCCATCCCTCGGGTCCCGCAGTACACTCTTGGCTTCCGGAGCTCGCCGTGGCCGTGTCAGAGACAACACTTTCCAGCATCTGAGACCAAACTGCAGAGGGAAGCCTTCTGGAGAAGCTGCTGGGATTGGACTAGCTAGTGTGGCAGATGGGAGCCAAGCTTGAGGACTGCTGGTGACCTGGGGAGAAGCCTTCTTCCCATCCCGTTCAGCACTCCCAGCTGTGTGACTTTATCGTTGGAGAGTGTTGTTACTCTTCCATGATACGTATCAGGGCTAACCTGACTCTGAAAACTGCCTTAAAGGTTTATTTCAAATTAAAACAAAAAAAATCAACGACAGCAGTAGACACAGGCACCACATTCCTTTGCAGGGTGTGAGGGTTTGGCAAGGTATGCGTGGGAGCAAGAAGAGGCAGGGAATTTCAAGAGACCCCAAATAGCCTGCTCAGCAGAGGGTTGTGCAGAGAAGGAAGAAAATGTAGCGGCTGCTCTGAGGGTGGTAAACAGGCAGTCTATATCCTTGTTACTCAGAGCATGGACCGGCAGCAGTGTCGTCACAGGGCAGCTTGTTAGGAATGAGAATCTCAGGTCTCATTCCAGACCTGGTGAGCCAGAGTCTGAATTTCAGCAAGATTCCTGATGATTGGCGTGTTATATAAATGTGAGAAGTGCTGCTCTAATTCTCCTTAAAGGATGGGAGAAAGGGCCCCGGCCATGTTGTAGCAGGAGGGATTCTGGTCATCTATAAAGGAGGACTTTCCATCTGGGAGAGGCAGAATCTATATACGGAAGGGCTAGTGGCACTGCCGGGGGAAGGGAGTGCATAGGCTTCCAATGATGGTTGGGGACAGTCCTGCCCAAAGGCAGGGCAGTGGATGGAATAACTCCTTGTGGCATTCTGAAGTGTGTGCCAGGCTCTGGACCAGGTGCTAGGTTTCCAGGGAGGAGCCAAACACAGGCCTTGCTCTTGTGGAGCTTAGAGGTTGGTGGGGAAGAAGATAGGCATGCATCGAGGAATCGTACAAACACATATGTAACTACAAAAGGATGGTGCCAAGGGCAGGCGACCAATGGCATCTGTGCATAGCTATGAAAGTTAATAAAACAGAATAAAAATAAAATACTTTCTCTCAGGGAGGTGTCTCAGAGGATGTGATATTTGAGCCTAACTCTGAAGGATGGGTAGAAGGATTTAAGACAGATTGCTGCTGTCCAGTAGAAATATGTGAGCCACATATTTAATTTAACATTTTTGGGCCAGGCGTGGTGGCTCATACCTGTAACCCCAGCACTTTGGGAGGCTGAGGCGGGTGGATCACGAGGTCAGGAGTTCAAGACAAGCCTGACCAACATGGTGACATCCCATCTCTAGTAATAATACAAAAATTAGCCTGGTGTGGTGGTGTGCATCTGTAATCCCAGCTACTCGGAGACTGAGGCAGGAGAGTCGCTTGAACACGGGAGGTGGAGGTTGCAGTGAGCCGAGATCGCGCCACTGCACTCCAGCCTGGGCAACAGAGCTAGACTGCCTCAAAAAAAAAAAAAAAAAAAGAAAATGGCCAGGCAAGGTGGCTTACGCCTGTAATCCCAACACTTTGGGAGGCAAAGATAGGAGGATCACTTGAGCCCAGGAGTTTGAGACCAGCTTGGTGTGCAAAAAAAAATTAAGTAATAAAAAAAGAAAATATTTCTCTAGTAGCCACAGTATAAAAAGGAAAAAGAGGTGAAATTAATTTTAATTACATCTGTTATTTAACTATATATATGCAAAGTATCATCTTTTTTTTTTTTCTTCATAGAGATGAGGTCTCACTATGCTGCCCAGTCTGGTCTTGAACTCCTGGGCTAAAGCGATCGTCTTGCCTCGGCTTCCCAAAGCGCTGGGATTATAGGCATGAGCCACTGCACCTGGCCCCAAAGTATTATCTTTTTAACATGCAATCAAGGTAAAAAAAATTATTAGTGAGATCTTTTACATTTTTAAAACCAAGTGTTCAATGTTCCTTGTGTATTTTTACACTCACAGCATATCTTAATTTGGATGCTAAATTTTCACCGGAAATACCTGATCTGTAATTACGCTGCATAAAAACTAAAGTTGAAAAAGAAGATACACATACCCAAGTTGTTTTGAGAACACTTAGCAGTTTTTCTGTAACTGAATGATGTATGTTTTTAAATTTTAAATTTAGGCAATTAAAATTAAATAACATTAGCAATTCAGTTCTTCAGTTGCACTAGCCATATTTTAAGTGCTCGATAACCACATGTGGCCAGTGGCTACCATGTTGGACAGCACAGTTCTACAGACACAGCATATGCAATTGTCCTGTAGCAGAAAGTAGTTTGGCCAAAGAACTGAAAGAAAGCCAGTATAGCTGGAAGGTCTCGAGGGCAAATGAGTTCAGAAGATTCTAGAAAGATTGCCTGGAGTTGGTCCTTTATTCTCAGAGCTAAAGGAGGCTGCTGAAGGGTTTTAAGCAGTAGGCCAAAACAAGTAGATTTGCATTTTGCAAAGATCACTTTGTCTGTAGCTTGAAAGACAGATTAGGGAGAGGTTGGTTAGGAGACTGTTGCTGTCGTCTAGGTGAGAGATGTTGGAGATTTGAACTGGGGTGGAGGCAGTGGAAATGGAGAGAAGTGAGCAAAATCAAAAGGTATTTGGGACATAAAGTTGACAGAGTTTGGTGATGCATTGGATGTGGAAGAGGGGAGAGACGGGGAGGGAGTTATCAAGGACGAAATCTCTGTTTCTGACTCAAACACCCAGACAGATGACAGTGCTGTGTTCTGAGATGGGAAACCTGCGAGGAAGACCAGTTTGGGAGAAGAAGGAAGAATATAAATCTGGTTTCGACCACGTTGAGTTTGTAGTACCTCTGAGACATCCTGGTAAAGATGGTGAGCAGACATTGCTTAGACATAAACACAGGTTTAGTTGTACAGGCAGAGTTCAGGCTGGAATGTAAACTGGTGTATGGAAGGCAGTCGAGGCTGTGGATTTGGAAGAGGTCAACTGAAAAGACAGCACTGGGTGAAGAGAGGAGTCTGGACCCATCTCTAATATAAAGACCCTCTAAATATAAAGATCAGATCACCAAGGGTGAGTTAAAGGAGAAGCAGGCAAGAGGAAATCCAGGGGAATATCAGGCCCCAGAAGCTAGCAAGAAGGAGGGAGAGATCAAGCAAAAGAGGACTGGAAAGTGACCGTTGGACTCAGCAACATGTGTGCCAACAGAAGCTTAGCAGCAGTGTTTGGGGAGGGTGATGGAAGCAGACAATTCCTTAGCTGTGAAAAAGAGGAAGAGAAATACGACAGGAGCTAGAAAGAAGTGAGAGTCAAGAGAGACCTTTCTTCGTTCAATGGGAAAGACTTGATGGTGTTTAAAACCTTCTGGGAGGGCTGCACTTAAGAGAAAGCAGTTGAGTACACAGGCAAGAGAAGGGGAAATCAGTAGTGGAAGGTTCCATTGGGAGAGATTGCTCTGCAGAAGCAAGGAGAGAGTGATGCAGGTGTGGGAAGGCTGGGAGGTGAGGAAAGTGGGGGATTTCATGTCTGTGCATCTGCAGGTCTTGTCCCTTCTACACCTGTGATCTTCACTGCCAGTCACAGACTGCCCACAGCCAACCCCAGCCCCTCTTCCCTCACTCTTTACCTTGTCTCCTCTCCTTGACCCTGGCTGTGTCTTTGCAAGTCTCTCTGTGTCATCCATCTTCCATCTCTGTGTTCTGTCTTTGCCCCTCTCTGCGTCTCTAACTCTGTCTTCTCAGTCCCTCTTTTTGTCACCCTGATCTTCTCTGTTCCCACTTCAGCCTCTGACTCTATTTTTGTGCACCATTGATTCTCTTTGTCCTTCTGTTTCTCACTTTGGGGCATCAATCCTCAGTCCCAGTATGTCTTGGCTGTCTTTGGCTCTGATGTGTCCCTGACCCTTAGGCTCTTGCTACCCAAAGTGTGGTCATGGACTAGCGACCTTGGCCTAAAGAATCTGAATCTGCCTTATAGGAAGATCCCTTAGGAAATTTGTGCAGATATTTAACAATTTGAGAAGCATTGTCATAAGCTTTCCTCTACACCAACATCAAAGCAGAAATTCAGAATCTTAGCAACATCAAAGAATGAGCTGAATCCTCCAGTATCTCCTGTCATCAACTCTGTGATGCTCTGAGCCATCCCACTTCTCTACATCACATCTTTGAGCCACCTAAAGCTGCTCTTGAAGTCCTAGGCAGCTAAGACAAGGTACATAGTATGCGTTTCAGGAAGTCCTGAATCCACTGATGTACACCCCACACTTGAGCTTCTACATCTGCAGAATTACTGGCAAGATCATCTGATACTGATACACTGGGTGCTTTCAGATGCGATCCCAGTACTTTCCAAAAAAACAATTAGCCCCACCTGGACCTACTCGTATCTGTCTCACCCTGTCCTGTTTTGAGCTGGAGAGGGATGTGTGTTTCAAAACCTGCTCACAACCTGAGAAGCAGCCCACCTGAGGCAGAGACCATAAGGGCTGAGAACAGCCCAGAGTTGGTCCAGACATCACACCCTGTGCTTTTTAGGATGAGTGAGTGCTGGAGAGAGGGAATCTATGTCAAGATGTAGAGCTGCCTAACCCTATTTCCAGGTTTAGGCAACAACAGCACATGATTGTATGTGGTTGTTACGTGCCCACATTGTTATTTGGAAAATGTTAGCTTTTTCCTCTACAGGGCCACAGATTTGCCCAGACTAACACATTTCTGGCCACCGTATGCAGTTCCAGCTCTGGTATGTTTCAGATCAAATCTCCAGAGTGTAGATTTGTTTTCCATTTCAATATTTTGGGTGATGGGGTTGTGTTTTCTGGATTTGTTTACTTAAGTGGGGATTTTTTTTTCTTTCTGGTTTGTTTGGTTTGGTGTAGGAGGACTGAGAGGGAATTTAGGAAAAGGGTCAGCTTCTTGGGCTCTATTACAAGTCCCTGATGCAGGGCCAGCAACCCAGGTGCTGGCTTTTTGTATCTCACTCCTCCAGCTGTGGTCCAGACAAGATTTAAATGGGCAACAGGTGGAAACTCAAGTGAATGGTGATAAGGTAGGAGGAAAACAGAGAGAACAGGTTTCATTTTTAAGGACTAAATGGATTCATTGCAAAAGGGCTGGAATACTGTCTAGTACTGCCAGTAAAAGTGAGCCAGAACAAAAGCCTAGTTATAGGGGAGTAGAGAAGATCTGAAGATTCGGTGCCTCAGGGGTTGCTGAGACATGAGCATACCAGGGTTGGGTGCACCTGCTTTGGTGTGGCACACCTCCTGGCTCTCCCAAGAGAAAGCCACCACACGGGGAACAATAAACAGGTTTTGGCTGGAGGCTTGGTTGAAGCTCCTTTAGCATCAAGAATGTGAGGCCAGGCGTGGTGACTCATGCCTCTAATCCCAGCACTTTGGGAGGCTGAGGCAGGAGGACAGCTTGAGGCCAGGAGTTCAAGACCAGTCTGGGCAACATCCTGAGACCTTGTCCCTACAAAAAAGAGAGAGAGAGAGACCTGCACTAAATAGACCCTTGGGTGAGCTAGCATGGATGGGGACAGAGGGAGAGTTAGTAAATCTGGGCCCCTTCCTTTCTCTGTCACCGCTAGCCTACCAGGTTCTTGGTGACAAGAGACCCAGGCCAGTGGCTAGAGAAGGTGGCTTGGGTTCTGCCCCAGAGCCTTCCAGAACTTAAGTAGGAAATTGCGAAACAGGGCTACATTTTGAAAGAGAAAGTATGTGAAAAATGGTTCCTCCCTCGCTCGTTCGCTCTCCCGGAGCTTGGTGCAGGGAGGTGGGTGAGATAGATTCCTGGCTGGACTTAGTCTGGTGTGGAAAAGAGGCAGAGCTGAGTCCTTAGGGGCCCCTCAGGCCAGATATCTGCAGCTGTCAGCCTTTGGTTATTGATCCTTGTTATTGGGATGCACTTTTTCCATCTGTCGAGCATCGGCCTGGTCCATGGAGAAGGCCAGCTCCTTCTTCTGGCTGAGTTTTGTCTCCTAAAAGGCCGGCTTCTGAGGGCTTCCTCTGCAACCCAATATGTACCATGGACTGCTGATTAAATACTTGGAATGTCTTCAGGGTGAGCCAGGCCTGTCCATAAAATGGGAGGCATTTTGGC